CCTCCCAATTACTACACTAATGAAACAGCATAATGAAATAATAGAGAGCATGGCAGGCCAAAGATCCTAAAAAGGAATATAATTGCAGGCCTGACACACTCGTTTTGTTCAACATGTCCAACCCAACTTTCGGGGATCAAATTTGAAACTCTGCACTCTCCAAATAATCATCAGGTTTTTTTAAAAAACAAAACACCTCACACACAATGGGGTGATGGCAGTGCAATTTCTCAATATCTCATAATATGAAATGTCCATTTACCCCCATGAAATACACTTTTCTGCTCTTGGTCTGACTGCTAAGTACTACCCTTCTAACACCCAGTGTGGATCCAATTGTATTGGACACCATTTGATATTCTCTGCCCTGTTCTTTCCCAGTTTCTCAAGGGAAGGACTGAGAAACCTTGTTCCCAGCTGTAATTATGGCAAAGAAATAAGTTGGAAGAAACCTAGTATTGAGCATGACATGGGAACACTATGACAATGTCTATTTTTTTGTTGAAACTTTCCCCATTTTGGCATACATATTCCAGATATGCAGGATTTCTGGAAACCGTAGTTAAACCTGTTGGGGGAGTGTGTATGTGTGCTGTGCACACAGGTTACGGCTGGGCTAGGCAATGTTCATGGTGATGATAAGGTTCTGCAGTTGCCTTAACAGAGCTTTTCTTTTGGTAATTTCAGGGATGTTTAAGGTCCTTATCAAAAGTAATTTGATAAGATATTCTAAGCTTTCAAATATTCAGATAGACATTTAAACTGGTAACATCAAGCAGCTCATGCCTGCATTGCTATTTTAAACAAAAAAATAAATTCTGTTCTTTGTCATTCAGAAAATTTTTATGAGAAAACCATGATCTTTTAGAATGTAGACCTAAATATACTCATAACTACTCTATGGGTATATTTAGGTCTTCACTCTAAAAGATCATGATTTCATACACAGGAAGGCAAGCTAGCTATTTTGGACTAATCTCATCATTAGCTGGATGATTATAGAGAGTGTGCATTGCACCAGATTGTCCACTTCTAATTTAATATTCCTGCATCAAAATAGCACAGTTGAATAGCACAGTAACATTTATTAGCATAACTACTAAAGTGATACTATGATTTGTTTTAACATACAGTAAATATCCTGATTTGGGTTAGCAACATCCTAAATCCCATTGAAGACCTAACTGCAATGTTTATTTATTTATTTTACAATGCAGTGAACCTTTCTGGGAGATTATAAATAGCAAAGCTTTTGAATACTCATTGGCATGGCTAATTAGAGTTTTGATATTGGAGTTTATCCAACACAAACAGGATTTGTTTTTTAAATCCAGCCATAGATGAGCATATAAAGGAATACCGTAGTCAATGTGTAATTTTGTCAATTCCCGTATCTACAGCACAGGTAGTCCTCAACTTATGACTACAATTGAGCCCAAAATTTATATTATTAAGTGAGAATATTGTTAAGTGAATTTTGCCCTATTTTATGACTTTTCTTACTACATTTGTTAAGTGAATCACTGCTGTTGTTAAATTAGTAACACGGTTGTTAAGTGAATCTGGTTTCCTCATTGACTTTGCTGGTCAGAAGGTCACAAAAGGCGATCACCTGACTCCAGGGCACTGAAACCGACATGAATGTGACAGTTGTTAAGCGTCCAAATGTGAATCGGGTGACCATGGGGATACTACAACAGTCGTAAGTGTGAAAAATGGTCATAAGTCACTTTTTTCAGCGATGTGACTTCAAACAGTCACTAAATGAACTGTTGTAAGTCGAGGACTACTTGCTTAGTTTCTAAAGCACAGTCTTCTGCTAGAATGGTGTTTCTCAACCTCAGCAGCTTTAAGATGTGTGGACTTCAACTCCCGGAATTCTGGGGAATTCTGGCTGGAGAATAATGGGAATTGAAGTCTACACTTCCCAAAGTGGCTGAGATTGAGAAACACTAAGTTGGAATGCTAGCAAGACGTGACTTCCTTGTTTTCAGGGTTACAGTTTTAATAGCAAAAGAAGTCTGCTAGATTAGTTCAGAGATCAGTCTATCTCAGTGGCGCCTTGTCATATTTCTCCTGGATACTTTACAAGCATTATATGAAGACATGTGCCCACCTCATATATTTTTTTGTTCCCTATCCCACTCCTGTTCATGCTTCTTTATTCATAATTCACTCTCCTGTTTGATACAGAAGTTAATACCAATAAAGTCATTTGATTTAACCTGGTTTGTCGACTTCAGAGGCAAGCAGATAATGTATGTGCTTTGGGAAGGCGGAAGATCAGGGCTTCCTGTCCTTATTCAGAAATGACATTTTGCTGCATGGCCTTTTGGAGGAGCCCAGCTAATTCTTTCCTCGGTGCATGCTTTGGACAGGAACCCCATGTCATTAGAAAACGTTATCTATTGCTGCTCACCACATATGACATTTTAACCCTTCCAGGCAGTGAAAATATTGGGGGAGGTTTTTTTTTTCTTTCTGAATTCCCATTTACAAATAGTTGGAGAGCAGCAGGGTCAGTTGGAGTTTAAATCTAAAGGATTTAAAATCTCTGCTAAATGTCCTAACTGCATTTTCATAGCAATAGCACTTAGACAGATATAGTGCTTTATTGCACATTCTAAGCGGTTTACAGAGTAAAGCATATTGCCCCTACGGGTCCTCATTTTACCAACCTCAGAAGGATGGAAGGCTGAGTCAACATTGAACCGGTCAGATCAAACTGCTGGCAGTCAGCAGAATTAGTCTGCAATAATGCATTCTAACCACTGGTGTAGTGGCCTCGAGGTGGAGCGCTCGCCTCATAATCACAATCTTAGAGGCAGATATTTCTCTCTCTGGGCATAGTGAGAATATATCTGCTGAACAAAACTCCTCATTGGTGACCGGAAGGGCCTCCGGCCAGTAAATACTCTGCTAGCTCCATTCAGTTGCCCAGACTTCAGCCCACAAGGGATTAGGGGGTCGTTAAAAGAAGGTGATGAGTGTATTCTAACCACAGCACCAGCTCTTGATCTGCGGGATGTAAGTTTATGCATTTTTTTTGCGTGCCTTTACCCTAACGTATGAATTCTGATTTGTGTCCTTTTAGGCAATTTGGCCCCAGAACCACCTAAAATAACTTCCTCGGCAAGTCAGCCAGACCTTTTAGGTGGCTGGGATTCTTGGACTGACAGCACTATCCCAACAGCACCTAAGAAGTCAGCTTTGGAAGGTATGGTATGAGGCTGTCACTTGCATTTTTAGCTGCTAAAAGCAAGTAGGCAAAGCTAATAGTAGCATCAGATAGCATTGTGAGACCTGACAGCTTTATAATGCAGTGTCTTTAAAATACTATACACCTGCAAGAAACACTTGGCTGTATGGCCAGTTTGGATTTTGTTTTTAAAAAGCAATAGCAAAGGACAGCAAGCTTTAACATTTGCAATTGCTAACATTCCATTCTGCTGCAATTTGTGGAATACGTTCAGACCTAAATGGTGGATGCGTAATAAAAGGAGAATTGGCAACAGCCTTCCCTTAGAGTTGTATGTGTTTTAGAACTGGAAATGAAACTTCATTATATGTGGATGGGGAAAATTTCAGGCATAAGCAGTCAGGGTCAATTGGCTACCTTGGTCCATATCTTATGCCCTGCCAAGTTTGCTTTCTGGCACTCTTCCTCATTGTGGTCTTAATAGAATTTCTGAATTAAAATATGTGTTGTTGTTGTTGTTTTCGAACTGCTGCTGCAGTTTCAAGATAAAACCAGCAGCATGCAAGAAAATCAAAGATGAAGCATGGCATCTTATTTTGGTCATTAAAGGAATTTAGAATGAACAGTAGAGTATCATGCATAGTCAATAAAAGAGGTTGGTTTCTACAGCTTCCCTACCTGCATTCTAAAGAATAAACTGAGCAATCGCCCTTGTGAAGCATCTCTGTTAATCCCTCAATGTAAGGAAGCAAATTAATCCAATGTGCCAATCGGATTTGTTCAATGTCAATCAAAGTTACACGAGCAAGGTTCGTTCTGAACTGAGATGCTTTACCCTGGCTTGTATTTTCCCTTCTCCGGCGTTATAAAAACATGGTTGATTTTTGCTAATTATATCACTTAATCTGCTACCGAAACTGCTTCCACAGCAATCATGGGTTAATGGATCCCATAATATTAGGAGTGTCTCTGCTTCTGGGTGCTACCTGGGGGGGGGGTGTTTTCACAAAAAGGAGTCCTAATAAAAATCCTGGTCTTGTTATTCTTAGTTATTCAAAGAATTGGGACACAGAGAAATAAATGCATATTAACTTTCTGAATTAAAACCTTCACTTATACATACATTCACACATCCCTATATACTAGTTTAAGAAATCTAGCTGAGATTATGTTTAAGTTTCCTAAGCTTGAAGATGGCACAGCTATTGTTCATGGTATCCAAGGGATTGATTGAAGGACAGCATACACTTACCTAACTTCCAACAAGATTTGGCCAATACCAGCACGATACTTTTCTCATATATTTACATGTGGAAGCTATGTGTTGTTCAATATAATATATTCATAGGGACACAGTGGCTCAATGGCTAAGACGCTGAGCTTGTCGATCAGAAAGGTCAGCAGTTTGGCAGTTCGAATAGCGCCGCGTAACAGAGTGAGCTCCCGTTACTTGTCCCAGTTTCTGCCAACCTAGCAGTTCGAAAGCATGTAAGAATGCAAATAGAAAAATAGGAACCACCTTTGGTGGGAAGGTAACAGCGTTCTATGTGCCTTCGCCGTCTTCGGCCTTCGGTGTTTAGACATGCCACATGACCATGGTAACATCTTTGGACAGTGCTGGCTCTTCGGCTTTGAAACAGAGATGAGCGCCACCCCCTAGAGTCAGGGACAACTAGTACATATGTCCGAGGGGAACCTTTATCTTTTTCATAAATTCAATCTGATAACTGCCTATTAACATGGATTACAATAATGGCAACACTCCAACATGCATACAGACTGGGGGGAAACTATAGAAAAGCCATTGGATGCTGGCTGTGTTTGGAAAAGGTATCAAACAGCCCCCAAAATGAATAGTTGCTGTTAAAAAGAAAAAAAAACCAAGTGTTTGCATTTACTACCGCACAGGCTCAGCTTTCACAACAGGAGGGCCAGCGAGTGGCTCCTTGGGTCATTCCTCCAATCAAGCAAAATCACAAAATCTTGACCCTTTTGCTGACCTTGCAAACTTGAGAAGTGGCCTTCCAGGTAAGTGTTGGTATAAAGCTAATGAAAGGCCATAGTCATTACTCATCACTCGTTTTTATTTTAAGGGTACTTTTTCCATTTGACTCCAGCCACCTGCTGCTTCAGGGAGTTCAGCCACCTGCTGCTATGGTTTGTAGCCTTCACTCCGATTCTCTTCCAGAGGAGCTTCCCCTGGCTCTGTGAAATAATTTGGTGCTCTTGTTTTTCATCCTTTGCTGCTCCTTTGAGGCCCATCTTGCCCTTTAATTTCAAAAAATGGAGAGCTGAGTCTAGCCCACCTTTTGAACTGGAATCCGTGCAAAAGCTACGGGAAAGGGTCAATGTGACAGACTAGTGGGACAGAAATTGAGTTAGAAGAGAGAGCAGCCTGACCTGTCATTGTGGCTGCTTGACAGTTGAACAGGGTATTTGAAGAGTAATTGGATGAAAGCTCTCCGGAGTCCTCTGTGAAACTATGCCGGCTGACCTACATCAGGAGCATTGTAACGTCTCTAGAAAGGCCACAAAATCAATGGTGCACAGGTAGTCCTCAACGTATGACCACGGTTTTACAAAATGTATGTTGCTAAGCGAGACGTTTTGTTAAGTAAGTTTTGTCCTATTTTACGACCTTCTCAGTTGTGAGGTGAATCACTTCAGTTGTTAAGTTGGTAACACGGTTGATAAGTGAACCTAGTTCCCCCATTGACCTTGCTTGCCAGAAGGTCACAAAAGGTTATCAGGTGACCCTGGGACACTGTAACCGTCATAAATATGTGTCAGTTGCCAAGCATTTTGATTTTGGATCACATGACCATGGGGATGCTGCAGGGTTTGTAAGTGTGAAAAACGGTCATAAGTAACTCTCTTCAGTGCCTTTGTAACTTTGAACGGTCACTAAATTAACTGTTGTAAGTCAAGGACTACGTCCCAGTTAGTTCCCTGTTCTCTTTTCCATCCTCCTTGTTCATATTTCAGGAAAGATTTGGAACACGTCCAGCGGATCCCAAGGAGATACATATGAGTTGCCCCTCCAAATAACTCTTTGACAGTCGGAAGAATTGGAGCCGGATTATTAGATGAGCAATTCCTGCATAGAAAGCTCTTTTTTTTGGCATCATTTAATTTAATCTTTACTTACACGCTAGTTATTACATTTGTATCCTGCCAGATCAGCACAGGACTCCTGATGCTTTTGTTATTAGACTGTTGTTCTCTTTGTGCAACCGTGCATTTTTCCTTTCTGAAAAAAGTAATAAAAATATAACATCGGTATAAGGATTATTATTCCGTGAGGGTGGGTGACTGGCATTTTTCAGGTGTTTTGAACTGCACCAGTCACATTCCCTTGGCATTGGCCATGTTGGCCGAGGCTGATAAAGCTGTAGTCCAAACATTGGAAGGATACCACGTTGGCTATCCTTACTTCTAAATATGCCATCTAAATATGGACATGTGCCACCCTCACTTCCAAAAATCTGATGCACATTATAAGTCATCCTTCATTTTGAAAAATGAATACCCTTCCTTTATTCTTTTATATTCAAGCAACTTGCAGTTTCACAAATTTGGCCATGCATTATTTTGGTATGTGCCATAATTTTGTTCGGTTTCTTGTCGGGATGGCTGTTGATATTTGAGGTTGTATTCACAAACAGGTGTGATGCCACTAACTTGTCCTAGTTTGATCTCAAGCATCTGGCCATCTGTTTTCCCTTCCCTCTCACAGAAAGAAAGCTTATATCAGTGGTTCTCAACCTGTGGGTTGGGACCCCTTTGGGGGTCAAACGATCCTTTCATAGGGGTCGCCTAAAACCATTGGAAAACACATATTTTCAATGGTCTTAGGAACCGAGACACCAATTTTATGGTTGGGGGTCACCAAAACATGAGGAACTGTATTAAAGGGTCGCGGCATTGGGAAGGTTGAGAACCACTAATTTATATGATTTCCACTATTTAACTTAGATTTAAAGATCAGCACTAAGAGTTACTGCAAGCCTTTATATTGTGTCTGTCCAGGGTAGCTTAGACCACAGATAATCCTTGACTTACAACCATTCATTTAATGACTCTTCAAAATTACAACAGGACTGAAAAAAGTGACTTCTGTTTTTCACACTTATGACCATTACAGCATCCCCATGATCAAAATTCGGGCACTTGGCATCTGATTCATATTTATGACGGTTGCAGTGTCCCCAGGTCATGTGATCCCTTTTGGCGACCTTTTGACAAGTAATGTCAGTGGGGAAGCCAGATTCACTTAACAACTGTGTGACTAACAGTTGTCATTGTAAGTTGAGAACTACCTGTATAGCATACCAGTACTTGCAGTCACTGATATTTGCAGTTTGGACTGTTGAAAGATCTTGCCATACTTTTTACTAATGGTTTTGGCTCAGGGTGCTGCTTTTGAATTACATTTAATAGCACCCTTCTTACTAATGTTGTGATAGAATTGCTCTTGGAAAGATTTCCCTTCTGACTCAAGCATAATTTAGTTGTTCCATTGTTTCTTATCTAGGAACATCTAGTGGAGGATTCTCAGCTGGCAGTTTTGCGCCCAAGTCAGCTCAAAAATCAGCGGGGACTCAGTGGCAAACAAGCAAGCCACAAACCACCGGCACTTCATGGCAACCTTCACCCCAGCCCAAACCTCCGGAACAAGCCAAGTTGGGCACACAACCCAAACCCAACTACACTGTGAATTTTAGTGTAATTGGAGGGCGGGAGGAGAGAGGCATCCGAGTCCCTGGCTTTGGTAAGTACATGGCATCAGGCTTGCATTAGGCCATAATCTTTGACCTTACACATTTCAACTGGCAGGAAATCCCCATTAACTTTAAGGGGACAGGTTTTTCTCACTATCTAGCTGAGACAGCACAGTTAAATTCCTGATTCCAAGATTATTATTTTTTTAGGTTGTTCATATAGTCAAAATGTATTATCCCTTGAAATAGAGCATACCTACTTCCAAATTCCTCCATTTCCTATCTCTTTTTTAAAAATTTACATCAGAGAGGGGAGCCCCCACTATATGGCTGAATGTGATCTGCTTGGACTGCATAGGGCACGTTTGTTCTATGCTTCTGTATGGTAAAATGGAAGTGAATGGATGTTGTAACTTGTTAGATTCTGTCTCTGTTTCTGTCTCTGTCTCTCTCTCTCTGTATGTCTCTGTCTCTCTGCCTCTGTCTCTCTCTCTCTCTCTCTGAGTGGGTACTGAGTTGTCTATACAGATGCTGATATTATATTTTGTGTTTGTATTATGTTATTATGAGCTTCTCTAAATTGCTCTGGATTTGGAATTTAAATCTAATAAAATCTGATTGACTCTACAAAGTGGGCTGGGAATTTGTTTAGGCCCCGGAAGGCAATTCTAGCACAATCAAATTGATTTATGTAGCCCTCCAGCTTTCACAATTTAAGGAGTGTACATCTAAATTTATGAACATTCCTTCTTTTTTCTCTTCATTAAAAATGTGTGTATTTAACCAACTGGAAGGAGCTTTTACGCTTGTCCAGGAAGCTGATGGGTTGGACATGAGGATTGCCTACAGAACTTTTTTTTTCCATTTAAAGTATAAGGGATATTCTTTATCTCCATTATCCTGGGCAGAGGTAATTCCAGGAGGGTAAATGCCCGTAGAGCCTTTTCCAGCCAGTAGAATGAAACTTTTTTCTTTGGCTGAGAATTCTTCCATCATCCTTCACCCTTGCTCAACATTGGTGAGGACTGCTGACAGTTGTAATTCAACAATAGCTGGAGTACTACAAGTTGTCTATTCCTGCTTTAACAGAGGACTGAGTTGCTCTCAGCTTCAGAACACATCTTCCATAATGGTTAATCAGTGGTGGGCTGCAACTGGTTTAACAACCAGTTTGGTGGTTATGCGGTTTGCATGCACACGTGTGCTTTGCAGGCACACGCCTAACGCACTTGTGCACAGCGTTCAAAATACAGCAATTTGAAGGTCAGCTGCTCACCATCTAAGGCAGCCCCAGTAAGTAGAACAGCAGAGCCATGGAAATCAGCTGTGCCACGCAAATCAGCTGAGCCAGGAAGAAGGAAATATAGGACAGGATAGGGCGGGTGGAAGGGGGGGGGGCAGCTGATCATCGGAACTACTGATTCATTTGAACCAGTCTGAACCAGCAGCAGCCCACCACTGAGGTTAATCCAAGGTCACCTAGTCATTCTTTGAATATACTAAAGGGTTAATGCTGCTAACTAATTGCACCAATATAGATCTGTTACACTGCCAATATGAAAGGTGTAGACTGAGAGAAGAAAATGAATAGGAATGTTTACTCATCTGATGGTACCTAATCATTGTGTGGCTATGACAGGGGTTAGCAGTCTGTGGCTCTGGAGCCACATGTGGCTCTTTCATCCCTCTGCTGCAGTGCCTTGTCACTCAAAATAGTGGTTGCAATCGCCAATGTGTGACACCCGCCAGATTGCGATTTGTTGAGCTTTATGAACCCCACTAGGCCAACCATGGATAAATCCAAGAAAAGTTTCAGAAGAAAACAGAATGTTTAATTCAACTACATATGCTAGTATTGTTGGCTACTCAGGAAATAAATCAGGCACGGGGAGGGTTTTGTAGCTCCCGGTGTTTTCTTTTCTGTGGGAAATGGGTCCAAATGGCTCTTTGAGTGTTTAAGGTTGCTTACCCCTGGGCTATGATGACATTTTTGAACCAAGATTTTCTCAGATCTCACCATTAATTTCTGGGCTTTGCTGAGATTCTTAACTGGAAACATGTAAATAACAAGTAACTGATTATAAAGAAGATAGGCGTCTAGTAAGTCACCGGTTTTTCCCTTAGTCTGCATCAAGGGAACAGACTAATTCAGGAATAAGCCCTGTTGAAAAAAGTTGGATTTGTTTCTGAGCAAGGAGATATAACCATTTCCTAAAAAATAGTGGCTCAGTAATCACCAACATGAGTAATGAATAACAAATCTGTCATTTCTGTGTACATTTTCTATTAACAGGAAAATGCCTAGCTTCTTTTTTCTTCTTTGCCAGGACACAAACCCAAAGTTTCAGAAAATGATTTTGAAGACCTTTTGTCAAATCAAGGCTTTTCAACGAAGTGTGACAAAAAAGGACCCAGAACCATTGCTGAGATGAGAAAGCAAGAACTATCTAAAGATATGGATCCTTTAAAATTAAAGGTTTGTAGCATTTATGATGAACATTTCCCCTGGCATCAGATTCTTGCCGTGTTTTCCACCAAGAAGTGGATTGTATGCAGTGCAAAAAGAATTTGCACTATAAGAGGCAATGGCTACAAAAAAAGTACAATAGGAAGGAAGGTGGCTGCCTTAGTGCAGGGGTGTCAAACTCGATTTCATTGAGGGCCTCATCAGGGTTGTGTTTGACCTCGGAAGGCCCAGGTGGGCGTGGCCAGCTTGGTGTCACTCGTGTCAGGGGTGCCTCTGGTGGCCTGTGCGCTCTGCCAGCGAAAACAACTTCCTGAGCTCTGTTTTCAGCTGCGACGGCCTCCTGCAGCCCTCTGCCAGAGAAAACCGAGTTCAGGGGGCCACCCGTGGCCCTCCCGAGCTTGTTTTTTACTGGCAGAGGCACTGCGGGCTGGTCCTTTGCTGTTTTGAGGGCAGCCCTGCAGGCCAGATCTAAGCACCTCAGGGGCCAGATTCGGGATCCAGGCCCTGAGTTTGACACCCCTGCCTTATTGAGCATAAGTAAGAGATCTGAGGTTCTGTCTTTGGCATTTTCAGTTACAAGAAAGTCAAGTAGCAGAGCCAGAAAAAACCCTGAAAAGCAAGCCTATCAATGTAAGGAATATCTATTGTGAGACAAGGGACTGAAAGTGTAACAAGTCAAGGAGTTGCACAGTTGGATTTGAGAGCCAATAGATGCATTGATAGGAAAAACAAATGTGTAAAAGCTTCTGTATATTAAGATGTGGTGAGCTTAAGTGGAGATTAGCTCAGTGCTATAATAGTTAAGTAGAAGCAATTGTGAACTCATCATGAGCAAAGTGGGTCAGTGGCTGTTAGAAAGCGAGATTAAATGATTACATATCAACATTGTCAGATAACAAATGTTGCTATGGGTAGCAATACAAAGAACCAAACTACATCAATGAAATGTTGTGCAGCACTTGGCTTATGCGAATTCCCATTCCTTCCCATTTCCTCTGCCAGCTTCTAGACTGGATTGATGGAAAAGAGAGGAACATAAGAGCTTTATTATCTACTCTTCACACTGTGCTTTGGGAAGGTGAAACCAAATGGAAGCCAGTTGGGATGGCAGACCTGGTTACCCCTGACCAGGTCAAAAAGTACTATAGAAAAGCAGCGCTTGTTGTTCATCCAGATAAGGTGAGTGTCTGGTAAATACTCACAAACAGATAAAGTAATGAACATTTACATGAATACTAAATACAGGTAGACCTTAACTTACAGCCGGTTGTTTAATGGCCCTCTTCAAAAAACGTGCCAATGACTCATTTTTGAATTATGACTACCAGCCCCGCCCTCGACACACACATACTGTTGTTGTCAAAAGTTAAAGTGCATCACGCTCTCTGCTAACTGCCATTGCTTTGAATGTGCAGCAGCGGTGGGATTCACTTACCCCCCCTACCAATTCGCAAATGTGAGAGCATGTGCTGTGTCTGCGCATACACACCACCTTATGCGCATACGTAGTGCTTGCACATTACATCGGGGTGGGTGAGCAGAGTCCCCAAAGCTGCCTCTACCAGTTCGCCTGAACCGGAGAGAACCGGATGAATACCACTTCTGGTGTGCAGTATTTAAAAACAAGCATGGTTTGCTGCCACAGAAACAACATATAGCGGATCGTGGAAGTGCTTGGTCAAATCTTCCTGGTTTATGGAATATACACAAAGATAGGCGAGTTGCTGTCATCCTTCTTGTGGTGGCTGCTTCAGGGACCAAGGCTTTTGACTGTAAGTAGGCTTTGAATTGAGAACCTTAAGGCAACCTGCCCATTCCAACTTTCCCAACCCAGATGTGAATGCCAATTTTTGGATAAAATGCCATATAGGTGGGCTAATTGCCAAGGGCCCAAAATGCGGTCATATTTGGAACTGGATCATAAGCAATTTTGGGGGGTGGGTGGGGGTCCTGTCATAACTTCAAAGGGTTGTAAGTCAAGGACTACCTGCTGACTGTTTCTGGAACAGGAAGGGGAAATCATTCAAATAGTTTGTCCTCAGTGGCATGTGGTTCCATATTGACATCTGAACTCAAAACCATTCTTGTTCCATAATGGGCAAATTGGTCGATCGTGTCTCTCTGAGGAAAAAAAACACAGTTCAGAGCTCGTTCAATGCACTCATCCTTCTTTGAAAAAAATAAAATTGTGAATATAAAAAATCAGTGTGCAGATACTAATAATATTGGGGATTTCTTCTTAACTCCAGAAATAAAGTTCATTGCTGAACTTTAAGTTAAATTTGCTTACTTTTGCAGTTGCACTGTAATTCAGTTTTTCCTTTGTTTTGTTTGTTTGTTTACAGGCTACAGGGCAGCCTTATGAGCACTATGCCAAAATGATCTTCATGGAGCTGAACGATGCGTGGTCAGAATTTGAAAACCAAGGCTCAAAATCCCTTTTTTAACAGAAAGTCCCTCCTGCAAGGGAATTGATTTCAAAATGCATTGGCAGCAAAACTGAACCTCGAGTGCTGTAGTGTAACCTCCTTAGTTGGAGGAGGGAGGCAAAACAACTTTCCCTGTTCTTGCACAATTTAAAACTGTACACGCAGCCACACAGTGTGTATTGTAGGAGATAAAATGTGAAACTTCGCAAAGATGGCATCCCCATCAGTGCTGGGAAGTTTGTGTGGTGGAAGTGGCAAGTTGCAGGCTGTGTTACAGAAGGTTGAATGCACCAGTAATTCTAATAATGGCTGCTGGCGTGAGCAAAATTTTGCTAGTGGGAACATCATCTGTTTCGAATCTTGATTTTTTTTTAATTTTTCCATTTGAAAAACACAAAACCTCAATTTGCATTTCTGTTTTATTTCCCATGTAGTCTTTGTGATTCCCCTCCCCCTTTTTGTTCCTTGTTTGCCTTATTTAAGTGCTTTTGTTATCCTGTAGTCTGTGAATTCGCTCAACAACATTTTTTTTCTTGTTTCTGTTAGAGGTGTACATTTTTCTTCTGTATTTTATGTAATCCTTCCAATGATCATTCTGTAAATAATTAAAATAGTTTTCTGACAACATCTGCGTTTCTTACCCTGCATCAACAATTGCTCAGCCAAAAGCTCTTCCAATTGGAGAAAGAAGTTGGCTTGGGCGAATCTTGGGTTTATACTACTTCCTTTTAAAGAAAAAGCAAAACAAAACAAACTTGTAAACTATAAACAAAGAAGCGGACGACTGGGTAGTCTTGCTTTATTTATTGTAATACTGTTGGAGGCAAGACAGTTAATGTTCAGGTATTCAACCAGAAAGATAGCGCCTGTGACTTCTCCCTCTGGGCTGCACCGGGTGATCGATACGCAATTTTCAGGCAGGTTGACACATGCACAGATGGAAGCAGAAGTCCATTTGGTTCACATTTGATGAAATTGCATAAATGTTGCCTCTTTGAAGGAGTGTGCATACTTTTGCTAGCCATAGCTAACTTTTGTTCATTATTTATAAAGGCTGCAGAGTCTGGAGGTTTGCATGTATGGATATGTACCCTCTTCAAGACTATCAATATGTATAATTAAATTGGAGGGATGGATAGACAGATATTATTTAAAGACAATCCCCCTACTTGATGTGTCCTTTAGAACACGTTCTAAAACCGGGGAGAAAAATTCACTTTTGGGTATAACTTCTTAACTGAATACTGTAATGTAGTTCAACATTGTATCAGAGTAGCAGCATTTCAACATTTGGTCTCCGAGCTGCATTAGTAGCTCCCAATAGAGAGTCTAGTTTGCTGTTCAGATTTATTGCCTGTTTTATGGTATTATGGATTGTTTTGTCTGATTGGGTGACCGCTGAGGTGAAGCTTGGCCTAATCACTGAAGGGCTGCTTTATTTGTGAGTAACTCCTGAAGAAATTTAATTCAGGGTGCAGTGTCTTTTTCCCTTTAGAGAACCAACTCTATTTTTGGGGAAAAGAAGGGCAGAAGTGTTGATGAGAGGTCCTATTAAAAAAAAAAAACCTCCAAGTTGGTGTCAACCAGAGAACGATGTACAAAATTAAAACAAGAAAGTTTGAAATCCTTACAATTACTTGAAACTCTTTTCCCCCTGAAGAAAATGCAATTGGCTTGCTAAAGCGGCTTTTAGAAATGATAATATTAGGCTGAAGACGCTAATGTATAAGGCAGGAACGGGGGAACATAGGGTCCTTTCTTTTTTGTTGGATTATAGTTTTGAAACATTTTGCATCATTGGCTATGTTAGCTAAGGCTGATGGACGTTGTAGTTCAGCAACATTTACAGCGTATTGGGAAAATTCTGTAAATCTGTAAAAATTAGGATAAAATGCAGAATTAGAGTAAAACAAAGCCCTCCTGTGAATTCCTGTACTTCTAAATAGAGCTATTTGCAACTTAATCTTTAATAACAGGAAACACTTAGTGTAACCGTTTTTAAAGAAAGGCAGGATAAATTCAGAGATGATAGTTTAGGATGGGTTTCCCCCCCCAAATCGATACTTTGCTGCTTTACTTTAGTTTCTGAGTTGAGAGGTATTGATTGGCATTATAGAGCACAAGCTGTCTCTCACTCTTAGAATATCTGTTGCTATTAATTGTTTACAGACTGGGCCATTCCTAAAACACAAAGACAAGATCTAGTGGGACTCAAGAATTTCTGCCTGCCCCTTAATTGCTAGTCTGTACTAGAATTAATCTAGAAAAAGGACCTGTGATTTCTACTGTATACTTGTGACACATTTTATATACAGCCAGCACTTCAAATTAATCTGGCTAACGTACTCGTAGTATCCAGGACTTTTTGCTCAAACCTCAACAGGCATTTAGTCATAACACAGAGTTGAATTAGATTCAAAGGTCTTTCCTCCTTTTTGAAGCCTTTCATAAGAAATCTATGTGGGATGTTTTGCTGCTGTTTGCACTCCCTAGTTGGAAGAAACTTTGGTTCTTAGCTTGCCATTCAAAATACACTTCTATGCCCAGGTCACCCCCAAAAATAAGATATAGTAAAACCATGTCCTCCTTGGGAATTTTTTTATGGATAGATGCCAGTGACATAGGAGGGAAATCTATATGGATGTGGGTGTCATATCCAGGGAAGGGACCCAATTGAAGGTCTTAGGACTGTATTGGAAAGAATGGAAGTGTATTTCTACTTTCTTCCTTTCTGAAATTCAGTAGGAGCAACTAACTAACACTAAGAAAGGCTATTGAGTCATACTTAGCTATAATTCAGCTTCAGTTTAGGTATGGCCCACTCAGTGGAACTTCCAATATGTCTTCAGATGTGCTGTTAAGAGTGAGAACTGCAAACTTCTCAGCATAATCCCCTCCAAATGAAACTTCAGCTTTCATGACTCTTTCCAGGATCTTTTGGGGGATGCAGCATCCTCTTTAATAAATATTCCTTCTGACCACAAAGTGGTAAAATGGTTGCGCATATCTTTAGGGCAAATATTCAAGCTGTATAGATCACATAATATAGTGCTTTAATATCCTTCATTTTTGATGATCAGAAAGGGGGTACAGATTCCCAAAGTCTGATTCCTTTTCAAATTAGTCCTTTAAGTTGCTGTGATAGAGAGAGGGGGGAGGGGGGGGGAGAGAGAGAGAGAGAGAGAGAGAGAGAGAGAGAGAGAGAGAGAGAGAAGTAAAAGCAAAAGCAAAAGCCATGGCTTTG